TCAGATCTTGGTAGCTAAGCAGAGTCGGCCCTGGTTAGTATTTGGATGGGAGACCGTCGAAGAAGTCCAGGGTCACAACTCTGAACGTCTCTTACCTTGAAAACCCTATGTGGGGTTGCCATAAGTCAGCTGTGACTTAACAACACTTTCCTCCACTGTAATATATATTCAGCACTCAAAATGAATCAATTGTGAGGCCATGTTCTACATAACGTCAAAGTGTTAAGTGAAAATGTTAGGACTGACTCATTCGATGTACTCGCCGTCGGTGCTTAACTTCTAATAACCTGACATGAGGGGGCTGAAAACCTGAAAAAAATAAATACAACTCTGGGAAACCATGCTACGGGGAGGGGGGGGATGAATAACACATCACCCCAATCTGCCCGAAAGGGCTCAGAACAAGGATGGTAATTTACCAGGGAGAGGAAAGCACCAGAAAATAGGAATCATCAGAGCGTAGGTAAGAAAAACCCTTTCCTCGGAACAAGAAAGTCCGGCAACATTTCAATTTTGAGCAGCCATTCAATTTCTGAAATGTGGCTTAAATTAAACTTCAGAGACAGTAAATGGGTTTTATCCTACAAGGAGCTCTTGGAGGTGCAGTAATTCATATCCTGTACACAACCATGATTGAAGAGGCTGCGGCTGTCCGCGATGCATCCCTCCGGCAGAAATGGAAGGTGCGGAAGCCGAAGAGACCAGGAAGACAGGAGCACCCTTCCCATCCTGGCCAAGCCCTCTGATTAGTCAGCTGTCAAAGGAAAGGGCTCAAATTTATGATCTGAAAAATCACATTTTAACGAGGTGTCGCGTGTGCTTAAGGTTCTTATCCATCACTGTTGCGGGCCGGCTTTATTTGAGATACAGATACACTCGATTAGCATATCGTAAGGACGTTGTAAGGGGTCTCTGCCCCTGGTCTGGAAACAAAACTTTTCAGAGAGAAAACGCCCTGTGGACTGCACAGATTGAAAAGCCCACCGACTGCCATCGGCAGACAGGAGGGCTAAGAAAGCCAGCTTTCCATTTCCCCCCTCGTGATGGCGGCCGCAGGAAGACTGTCAGCTGACTGCCTCTGAGGAATGGGCCAGATCCAGCACACTGGGAGTGCCATCCTAAGCAGAGCCATGTCCTTCTAACTCCACTACAGTCAATGAGCTTTGAAGGGTGTGACTCTGTTTAGCTCGGCACTGTAAAATGTCCACTGAGTGTCATTCTCAGGCCCATAGCCAGGTTTTTGGTGCTTTGGGGGGCAATTTTTTTTCCTGGTGGGGCTGAAGTTCTCAGTGCAGAAAGAAAAGACATTTACCCAATAGAAAGCTGTGACCGGGATAGCTCTCTAAATTGCGAGTCAAACACTTAAGACGACAGTTCTCAGCTGCTGCAAGTTAATCACTTCTGCCAGCCTAAGCAGCAATTCTGATAACATGCCGGCAGGTGGGGGTGATGACTTCTAGTCAGTTTCTTGACACAGAGTTAGAAGGGAATCGGTCAACTACAGCACCCTGCTCTGCTTAAAGGAGTGCACACCTTTTTTAAAAGGTTTTAAAATGATGGGGGAGGGGAACATTTATAGGAGAAATTCTTGTGGGGCTGTGCCAAAGGGGGAGGAGCTCCCAAAAGCCCCACTGTAGCTATGGGCCTAGTCATTCTTGTATCTGCTATCTTTCTGTTTTGCTACCTTTTTGTGCTGAATCAATCACTGTGATGCTTTTGCGCTGGGGCCATTTCATTTGTCACCCCGAGCCCACCAATCGAAAGGATGCAACTCTCGCAAGCAAGCAAAAGAAACAAGCTTGAATACTGTGAGCAGCACGGCTGCTGTGTTATTTTATGAGTTGTCAAGGCCCCGGCTATTCCAGCCTCTCTCAGAAAAAGAAAAGAAAAACCAGTCACACAAATATGGAGGCGTCTTTATTTCCCTCTATTCTGAAAGGTACATCACTACGCAAGCGTGTGGCCACATGGGGAGAGGAAACCCAGGGAGAATCAAAACCATTCCCGTTATCACTTTCCTGGAATCTTTATGGCCCCCCTCTCTACTCCTGACATACTTCTCAACATGTATACAACTCTATGGAGACACTGGGCCATGTGATTATTCACTTCAGAAATGAAGAGCAACGTTTACGCCAATCCCTATGCACAGTTTTCCATATTTCTCTGGGGTTTTTTTTTTAAGTAAATGCTCACTTTGAACACATGAAGCTGCTTTCTACCAAGAAAGTACTGACCAACAGGGTCAGTACTTTCTACTCTGACTGGCAACAGTTCTCCGGGGTCTCAGGTGGAGGACTTTCACATCATCTCCTGCTTCATCCTTCTAACTGGACATGCGGGGGATCAAAATTGTGACTTCCTGCATGCAAAACATGGCCCCACTCTGCATAAATTCATCTTCTGAGTTCTCAACTCCGAGCCCGATTTCTTTATCGGAACAATGAACCTCCTGCATTCAACATATTTATTTTATTTAGTTAGTTCATTTACACCCCGCCTTTCTCCCCAATGGGGAACCAAAGCGGCTTACGTCCTTCTCTTCTCCACTTTCCCCTCACAGCAACCCCCATGAGGTAGGTTAGGCTGAGAGAGTGTGACCTGCCCAAGGTCACCCAGCGAGCTTCCATGGCACAAGTGGGTATTTGAATCGGTGTCTCTGTCAGCTAGCTGCCATGTTTCAATTGTATTTTTCCTTCCCTGACTCTGGCGCTACGACGCATACTTGCTTGCTGCTGTGCTCGCTTGCTGTAAACAGCAATAGGGAGGCGCTCCTGAGACCGTGCAAACTGGTGCTGCCAGACTGGGTTATCTGACTGGCCTTGAGAAGGAGGGAGGGCTTGCGTTCCACTAATGGTGTGAATATTTCTGCTCTCATGAGGCACGGAGACTCTCCCGTTCATTATATTACCTCCCGCCGGGAGAATTCCCCCCCCCCCGCGCTTGGGTTTCATTTGCTTAGCCATTTGCCTCATCCTGTTATATGTAGGGATGCATCCGCCCCATTGTCATTCCTAACAATATCCCTGTAGATCATGGCAACGGACCTGTAGTCTAATAAAGCATAACGATTCCCTGGAAACGTGTGTGGAGATTTACTTGCTGTTGAACCTGACAGTCTCTCAGATACTAGACCAACACTCTTAACCACTACAACCACACTGGCTTTCCAGGAGGGCAATAAGGAACGATCAACAACATGCCAATTCATCAATTCCAAATGATAGATATATCATTGGAGATTCACTATTCATGTGGCATAGACTGTTGTCCATCTGGGGCACAGTTTCTTGTGGGAATTAAAAAAAACAACAACAAAATGATCAAATGCCATCCGTAACAGATTTTCCTACTTGTTATGAACACAGTTCTTGCGATATGAATAAGCCATACAAATTATGAATGGGTGGCAGCCCTTCCTTCTGCTCTTAGCCCTGGTGAAACACTCCTTTTACTCCTAGCCACTTCCTGCAATGAGGGCCCCGATCCTTTCAAAAGGACTTTTGGCTCCTGCTCCCTGGACTTGCCCTTATTTGCTCCTGGTAAAGGGTCTTCTCTGTGGCTCAGTGAGGCAGACTCTCTGCTGGCAGAAAAAGAGATTTTTACTCCCCTCTCCCGAACCATTCAGATAAAAAAAGGAGGAACCCGCCGATCATGACTGCATGCTCTGTACATGCAACCGGCTTTCTGAAGAAAGACCTGCGTGTGTGTGCATGTGTGAAGTGCTATCAAGTCACAGCCGACCGACGGCAACCCTGTTGGGTTTTCAAGGCAACAGGCTAACAGAGCTGGCTTACCATTGCCTTCCCCTGCATAGCAAGCTTTTTTCTCTACCTTTGTGGGGGGAAAAGAGGAATTTGGCAGGGATATCTTGTCATACAGGGATTTAAAAACAAAGCTCCTCCGGCTGAAATACCCTCTTCTGTATGACCTTTAAAGGTGGAGAAGTGTTGTCCTACTTTGCATCTGTGTCTAAACAGAATCTCAAATGAATCCCCTCCTGCAACCCTCTAGCGAATCTGGAGGATAACCTCGTGGAGCCTGGTAAGCGTTTTACATAATAATAAAAAAGCAACTCAAACTACAGAGTTGTGCTGTTGTTTTTTAAATCATACATCAGATTTGAACATGAACACGTTGCTGCAAATCTCTCAAATCTCATCCCATGTATTTGACGGTCTGGGGAGGGACTGCACCACATACAAAGCACCACAGATCATGAACACATTGGGAAGGGGACCTCTTATCAGTGGGTCTATCCCAGGTCAAACTGTGGAAGAGTCTCGACTCAATTCAAACTGGCCTTGAACAGGTGACATTGTTTTCTTGAGCCCCTCGTTCCCAAAACTCCTTTCCAGTCCCTAATATATATATTTTTGCAGGGGGTAAACACATCTCTGGGGCCTGGGAAGATGGGGTGCGCAGCAACTTGGCTGATGGGGGTTATAGCAGAAAGACAGCCAGTGGGGAAAGGGTTAGGCATACACTCTCACCCAGCTCTATAGCTCTTCTTCCTATGGCGGCTTTTTTCTCTAACCAAGCTTGGCCACATCCATCTGTGCCGAATATTTCATTCCCTTCTTACTTTCAAGTGCAACGAGCTCCTTAAAGACAGACCCTCTTGCAAACACCAGAGCATCGTCAAGTACTGAGCTTAGCACGACCAAAGCTCTGCTGATATACAGAACAAGACGCATGTACTAATTTAAAGAGAATTATGGCGCAACACCACAAATTGAGTGACATAAATGGTCTCTCTAACCCAGAATACAGATCTGGATAGATGGCAACTTTCCAGGGTCTCAGGCTGAGATTTCTCTTAGGCCTGCTGCCTGAAATCTGTTTAACTGGAAACACCAGGGATCAAATCTGAGGCCTTATACATTTCATGCTCTAACCACTGAGCCGCAGCCCACCTCGGCTGCCAATCCATAATATTGTAGTGGTGCACAACGGAGATATCACAGATATTGCAACAGAAACTCATCTCAGAATCTTACCTGTTCTGCTGTCCAGAGGCCCGAACTCCAGAGAGTACTTGACCACATGGTAGTTGTTCCACACATAAAGAAGGTTATCCCTTGGGTTATAATCCACAGCAGCAATGTACTGGTACGAGTTTGGAAAAGGGACATCCACCACACTCTCCTTGCTTTGCTCAGTATTGTATATATAGTCTATCTTATTCCCCGTCGCTTCGTTGTCGTCATCCTCGTACACAGATTTCACCACATACAAAATGCCACAGATCATGAACGCGTTGGAAGCCGACCTCTTGTCGTAGGAGGTATCCCATGTCCCCTCGATCCGCAAGGTATAAGGGTTCAGCTGACTAATCACTATCTTGCCATTGTTCTGCTCTGTTGCATAGATTACCCAAAGGCCATTCTCGTCCACGGCCAGGTCGATGTCCGACTTGCCTCCCCATCTGTACGGGGACGTGTCATGGTAGTTGGCGTTAGCAATGATGGCTTCCCCACTTTTAATCCTTGTCCGGAGATCAAATTTGACAATGTTCCGGGTTCGCTCTTTGTTGAAAAACAAAGCTCCGTCATATACCACAAACCCGGTGCCGTCTACTCGGTGGGGCAGCTTGTACGTCGTCGTTGGTCTCCCGGCAATGAAATCATCCTTAGAAGAGTACTCCGTTAGGGTGTCTGTTCTATAGGGGGTCCATGGCATGTAATAAATCTTGTCAGAAGCCTGCAAAGGATCCTTACACCAGGCTCCTGACTGGTGGTCGGATTCAAATAAATGTTCACTCTGATACACTCCTTTTAGCAGTCCAGGGCAAAGAAAAACTGAAGGGTTTTTTAGAGTTAAAAACAAAGAAGGTTACTGGCCATTCCAGGGATACTCTGGCATGCACTTCAACATTTTATAACCCAAGAACAAAGTTCCAGAGAAACTCCCGACCTCCCTAAATGCCAGAATGACTATGAGTGGCTCTTTAAGCTACAAAGAGAATGGAGGGAAATTCACAGGAATTGTTCTCCATCCTTATTTTTAAACATCCCTTGGCAACCGTTCCACCTTTGAAATTATATACTTAGCAGATAACTATTGCAGAGCAGAGAAAAACCCCTTAGCAACTAAAAAAAGGCATTTTTTAAAAAGCAAGTAGGAGGGAGACAAACCTAGTGCAGCGTTCAGTGGATTAAGTAACAAGAAGGTTTGGGGGAAACTGCAACATAAACACACATAAGCATGCAGCTGGGCTAGTAAAGAAAGACCAAGGGGATGCATAGAGAGAGACAGAGGAAGGAAGGAAGGAAGGAAGCAAGAAGAGAAAGGGAAGGGAAGGGGGAGAAAGCGCCGCAGAAGAATCCAGACTTCAGTTACAAGCCTATTTCCTCTGCAATACAGAAGAAATCAAACATTAGGCAAACAGTACCTGCAAAGACTGAAATCATTTGCCGTACAGATTCCATCATTACTTTTTACATGGGTGTGTGTGTGTGCTTTAGGATACCAAACTGTCAAGTCTATAAGGGGCTTTAATCAGGAAAAGAATGGGACATTCAAAAGCACAAAATGCTGATCTGGATACGGACAATCAATGTAGGGGACAAGAGATTTTGTTTGGTGAGGGTAGCGTCACACAGTATATCACTTTTCAAGGGGAGGGTTACAGGACTGTTTGGACAATGGTCATTTCTTTGGCCTGCGGTCCCACCAGACTGGCTGCTCCTATGTGAACATCCCCAGCTGAGCAGGGAATTGAATGCAGAAGTCTGGTTCTCTGCATATGCAATCTTCTGGCGCCATCCAACAGCCAGGGCTGTTTGGACATCCTTCTTGGTTCTTGGGGGGGCAAAAGTGGGAGGGCTTCTGGAGTTCTGGCGCCACTGGTGGACCACCTGGTGGCAGCTGGGTTTTGACCACTGTGTGACACAGAGTGTTGGACTGGATCCAACATGGCTTTGTCTTGTGTTCTTATATAGGTCTATAAGGAAAACGAGGGCTGCAGAGACCAGCTCGGGGGGGGGGAGGGGGGAATGTTGCTGGCTTTGGATTCAGTGTTGCCTTGCTCCCTCTCTTTTGCCAGAAGTGTGATCTATGAGATTCTAGCTTCCTTGGCTGCACATAGGCACTGTTGGATTAAGGCCACTGCGGCCAAGGCTCCCTCTAAACGGTGGGGTCTTGTGAGCAAAAATTCTACTTGGTGAGCTGCTGGCATTAAAGTGGTGAGCCAGCGATTGGGCTGCTGCATGAATCAGTTTGCTCTGGAGCCCATCCTTCCTGAGCCGAGACCGAAATGTGTGAGCCGGAGGCTAAAAAACCGCGAGCCGGCTCACACTGGCTCAGCTTAGAAGGAACACTGATAGAGTTCACCTTCTGCGTCTGCGTAAACGCGTGCTTTTTTGCATTGCATCTAATTATTTTATTCTCAGGCGGCAATTCCAGTAAGAACCTGCTCTGAGTGACTTGTGATTCTCAGCAACCGGGAGAGTACAAAGAAATGGGGTGGGTGCCAAATTTCCAGGTGCTGGTTGGAAAATTAAAGGCGCCCTAAGGCGATGCCACCCATGGGAAGAGACTCCCGTTTGCACCGAGGCGAATAGAGAATTCCTCAGCTGTTTGTTGTGCGTAGAAAATGAATGGCACTCCATTGTGGGTACTGTGGGGCTCCCCTCTGCAGAAACCAGCAAGGGGTTTCCCAGAACCATCAACGGCAGGAAGTGCTGGCTCATCGATCTGTGCTAGTAATTCTTGTATCCTAGTTTTGCACAGCTCAGGATCGGAATGCACAGACCTAACCATAAATTTCACCCAGCAGAGCGCTGGTGGAGAGTTAAAGCCTTTGACTCTGAAACCCAGAAAGGTATTGGTAATGATGGGGTGACTGTGCCTTTTCCATGATCACTTGAGACCGTGGGGGTGGTGCCTGCTTGCCCCCTTCAATCTATTCAATGCCCATTTGCACAGAGGGCTACATACAAACCCTCAAAAGCATAAAGGGCGATTTCTCACTAGAGCTGCCTCGCAGCACAGCGCCGTTTGCCCCAATACAAACATGTCAATTTCACACCCGAGGCTGCAGGGCTGCATTTGACTCGGAGCTTCACCCGATTTCCTCCGCAGTTTCATGATCCTCAAAAACCAGGATCACGAAACTGCGGAGGAAATCCGACGAAGCCCCGAGTCAAAATGCAGCCCCGGAGCTTCGGGTGTGAAATTGACATGTTTGTGTCGAGGCAAACGGCGCTGTGCTGCAAGGCAGCTCTAGTGAGAAATCGCCCAAAGTCTCTCTCCGTAGGACCTGTGGGGGATACAGCTCATACGTAGGGGAATGCACGCGTCGGCACTTGTACAAACGCTGCTAATTCCATTGCCTGCTCAATCCTAAACAGGTCTGTGTAGACGTTATGTCCCATTGTGTTCAACGGGGTTTCCTCCCCAGGAAAGTGTTTTTAAGGTTGCAGACTGAATGTCTCCACAAGGGCTCACATGACAGGTGGCAGAGAGATTTTAACTGCAGTCAGTGGCGATCTTTATGACTGTATACAAGTAGGGTTGTCAGGTCCCACTGACAACTGGTTGGGGGCAGGAAGGAACTTACCAGGTGGTGGGGGCCCTTGCTGGTAACATGCTGTTGTCACTTCCTGTCCGCACTGGGGGACAACATGCTGTTGTCACTTCCTGTCCGCACGGGAAGTGACATCAGCACTTTTGGGCAAAACTCTACAGTTGAACCATACCATTTTGCCCAGATGTCAGAGTATCCCTGCATATCCCAGGGATAAACTGATGTCACGTCCAGGGAGTACGAGTGACATCAGTATGTTGGGACGCTGCTGATGCCCCCTGTTTTGGCACAATTCCCTCCACTGACCAGCTGAGTGACTGGGGGGGCAGGGGATACTTAGTATGCAGTGATTGGTACTTTTTAAACAACAGAAATCAAATCTTTGCTGTTAACTTACAGATGGGGAAAGACCTTTTGGGAATGTCTCTATTCAACCTCTGGTGCTTTAGCAAGGTGCACGTGTGTGTTTGTGCGTGTGCGTGTGTGTGCATGTTTGTGTATACTCTTGCAAATTACATCATGCTTTCCCATAAATTGAGCAAGATGAGAGAGAGAGATATTTTAATTCTTTAAACGATCCTGTCAAGAGAACGATGGCTCCGTAAGCCTTTCCAGGAAAAAAAAAGTGACATTAGTATTACTGAACAGCAGACAAACGAAACTTTAACCAATGGGTTAAAAATGGCGAGAGAATTAATGATGAGCTTCAGCTAAAGCATTAAACTGTTAAATGTCTTATCCCACAACGGCTTAGAATGGGTATATCTATCTATATCTATATATATATAAAAAGTGAAAAAGGCATTTAATTACCTTTTTGTTCCACTTCTATTGTAGAGAAAGAAGAAAAGCAAGAAAGGAGAAAAAGAGAATAGATTAATGGTTTCGTACTCGGGTAGGCACGTTTCTTTACCTCTGGCCCTAAAATATCGGCCTCTTACTTCATCGATTGCTGCATTCTGCAAACATGACTCCCTCACTCATAAGGAGGGCATTTCTATAAACACAAACCCCATGCGCAGCAAAGCTTATGAGGGTCTAACAGGCATGCAAGATCACAGCCAACACTTTTAAAGAGTCTGTGTAAGTTTTGCACTAATTGCGGTGGCCCCAGAAGTGCACCAATGCCCCCAAAATACTTGATTGCGGAACCTTTGCAGAATGCGCCTCAGCTGGCAAACACCCCCCCCCCCATTCTGCCAAGTCTGTGGCCTTCCTCCCACCCTGGGGAAGAAACATTTCTCCGATGCAAGCAGATCTTCCTGTGTCCGATGTGACTGGAGGCGGGCTCCAAAGTTGGCGCAGGGGACTGGACAGGGTATAAGCCATTGGGCTGAATGGAAAGCACCACCCGGAGGCACGAGATTGGCCAAGTGGCACTACCTCCCCCCCTTACCGAATTCTGCTCCTGTGACCCTCGGGAACAGCACGGGTGGCAAAGTGGGGAACGGCAGCATGAGGGGAGAACTGGCCAAAAAAAAAAAATCACCCACCCAGCTTTGGGATCGGAAATACCTAAAAAAATTGTGGGTGGAGCCTGAGAAGAGGAAAGATTTTGAGGAGGGGAGGGGTTTCACTGGGGTCTAATGCCACAGAGTCCACCTTCCAAACCAGCCACTTCCTCCAGGCAAGCTGATCTCTGTTGCCTGGAGACCCATTGTTATCCCAGGAGATCTCCGGGCAACACCCGGAGGGCTGGCAACCCTACCCACCCCTCTGCCTTGTTGCAGGTGGCCCAGGGCAGCCCTGGAGCAGCAGGCAGCCCAAACACAATACTGACACAGTCTGAAATCTGCTGCACCTGTGGAGTCATCGCCTGACTGTTAACAGGGGGGTAAATTGACGGGAAATCTTGGAATTAATGCAGTTATTCCCCTTTGGATAAAACAATAGTGAGCGCCACCATCCGCTGCCACCACCTAGACAAAGACTTAATAAAATATGCATATCATATATTCAGAAAGAAAAGGCATGCCCTCTGGTGGGTGGGAGAAGAGAGGATACCTCGTCTAAGATGGCCTCTCTTTATGTAATTACATTTTAATCCTGCCCTTTCAACAGGGCATGATATGGAGTTCTCTCCTCCTCCGTTTCGTCCTCATAACAACCCAGTGAGGTAGGTTAGGCTGAGTGACTAGCAGAAGGTCACCCAGTGAGTTTCATAGTAAGCAGGGATTTTGAAACCTGGGTTCCCGTACGTCGAGCCCCACATTCAAATAATTGTTGTTGTTGTAAGTACTCGTATTAAAGCAGTTCTTCTATCTGCTGCTTGATTAACCGGCAGCAGCAGTTTACTTGACCAGTCTAACCATTTAGTTGACCAAATGAAGAATCAATTAATCACCGTCGTCATTCTAGGATCAACAACTTTTGGTTTAGGAAAAAGTCAAACCACGTCCAAGTTTACATGTGTGCCAAAAGGCATGACAGACAGCTGAGCCACAGTTTAAGGCAGTAAATGCGTTTAGGGTTACCAGACTCCATGTGACACCTGGAGATCTCCTGCTAGATGACCAAGATCAGTTCCTCTAGAGGAAATGGCTGGTTTGGAGGGTGGACCCTATGGCATTATACCCTGCTGAGGCCCCTCCCCTCTCCAAACCCCACCCTCCCCAGGCCCCACCCCCAAAATCTCCAGGTATTTTCCAACCCAGAGCTGGCAACTCTAAACATCTTGCACAGTCTCAAATTGTGTGCTTGCTCAGAAATCTTGCTCCATGCATCCACAATAACGTCTCGGTCTTTCCGCTCATGGAACGTCAGCTTGTGAGCTGTGTCCAGACAGAAATCCAAGAGGTGTAGCCCCCCACGCTTGTAATATGCACTCCTAATGGATTTTTGCCTGATGCATGCTTAAGAGGCACAGTCCTCCACCACCCCTGGGATCTAGGGAGCAGTACCCAGTTGGTAAGGCTACGTAACGATCCATCTGTCCTTGCCTACTGTACTTTAAGATCCTCGGCCTCTCAAGGTCACTGATACCCAGCAATGGAAGGCCTGATCTGATCTAACGAGATCACGCAAATCTGATTAAAATGGCCAACGGGTCATTAGGCACATTTTTCTCAGATCGCTTTCTTAAGGTGCAGTTTTTCAGGGGGAGAGGAAGGATTATTATTGTTGTTGTTGTTTTTATTTAAATTTCTATCCCGCCCTCCCGCCGGAGCAGCTCAGGGCGGCATACACACAACTTTAAAACCAGCATAAAGACATACATAACATACAATTCAATAAAATTCCAAATAAACACAGTTAAAACCATTTAGATGTGGCGGTATCATGTAAAAAAGTGCAAGTGCAGCACAGCCGATGAAATCATTCTTACTGAAACGCCCTGCAAAAAAGCTCTGTTTTCACGGCCCTGCGGAATGGCTAGAGGTCCCGCAGTGCTCTGATCTCACTAGGGAGCTCATTCCAGAGCGTCGGCGCCGCCAAAGAGAATGCCCTGGTCCTAGTTACCGCCTGCTTGCTGTCTCTAGGCCCAGGGAGAGCCAGGCGGTTTTGTGTTCCAGATCGCAGTGCTCTCTGGGGAACATGTGGGGAAAGGCGGTCCCTCAGGTAGATTGGCAGAAATGGGTTAAAAAGGCCCAAAAATGTCCTCTTTCCTTTAAAATCTTAAGGCATAGACCAGCTTGGGGGTGGGAGATTTATTTAGAAAGCCCCCCCCACTGTGGAGCCAACAACACTGTCTTCCCCTCCTCCATGTTATCCTTATAACTACAACCCTGTGAGGTAGGTTAAGGCTAAGGGTGCATGTGACTGGCCTATGAATGCCCAGCAAGTTTCATGGGGGAGTGGCGATGTTAGATTGACACTCAGACCACCACACCCAGGGGTCATTAGCATAACCTACAGTATTTGCATATGCCACACCCCCTGACATCACCAGAAGTGTGTCAGAAGGCAACACCCACCGCTCAGGCTCCACTGGACTGTTTTGAATTGCTAGCTATTGGGGGCGGGGGAAACGTGCAGATCTGTCCTCACAGAGGAGGGAGAGCTTGTACCTGAATAAAACTTGGTCTTAAAGGTGCCACTGGACTGTTTTGGACCGGGGGCAGCGGCGGGCTCTGCAGCTTACCTGGCTGCTTCTTGCTCTGACTGAGGGCTGCTGGGAGCAGGGGGTGCGGCTTGTTGCATGTGCCCCCCCTGGGCTCTTTACTGCCGGAGCTCCGCTCCTGTGCGCTCCTGCAGGAAATGACCCCTGACCACACCACTGTGGATCTCTCAGAGTTAGACGATGAAGGCCGAGCTTGGTGTAGTGCAGGGGTGGCCAGACTGTGGCTCGGGAGCCACATGTGGCTCTCTGACACATATTGTGTGGCTCCCGGCAGGGCAGCTGGGAAGCAAAGGTAAGGCATGCCTACCCAATCGAGCTTCCCTTCCCCAGTGAGTGTTCCCCTTCCTGGGTAGGCTTGAGGCAGGGGGGGAGCAGAGAAAGAAAGCAACTTTATTTTTGGCAGTCTCATTTAATGTTCATAAAAAGCAAATCTGCATATTTTCCAATAAAAACATGTCTGTAATACCTGTTTGCATTGTGGCTCTCAAACATCTAACGTTTATTCTGTGTGGTTCTTACGTTAAGCAAGTTTGATTACCCCTGGTGTAGTGGTTAAGAGCGTGGGCTCTAATCTGGGAGAACCGGGTTTGGTCCCCCACTCCTCCACATGCAGCTGCTGGTGTGACCTTGGATCAGTCACAAGTTCTCTCAGAGCTGTTCTCTCAGGAGCAGTTCTCGAGAGAGCTCTCTCAGCCCCACCTACCTCCCAGGGTGTCTGTTGTGGGGAGGGGAAGGGAAAGGAGAGTGTAAGCCGCTCTGAGACCCCTTCAGGTAGTGAAGGGTGGGGTATAAATCCAATCTCCTCCTCCTCCTCTTTCACTGGCACAACCTCCATATTCCCTTGTGTTACCTTCAGCCGAAACAGAGGAAGTTCACACACTGGAGCCGTATGTGTAAAAAATCAAAAACTACTTTTTGGAAATAGTCGTCTTCGGCCTCCTCAAAGAGGGAAAGGGGCTGTGTCTGCTCTTTGTCCCTTCTCCCACCCACATCTCTGGGTGCTTTCACACATGCTAAATAATGCCATTTCAGTCCACTTCAGCAACCACGCCATTTCACACAATAAAATCCAGTTGTAAAGTGCACTGAAAGTGCATTGTTTTGTTCCGAGGGCTGGATCTGACATAAATGAGACTTTGCTGGGCTGGGCCATGCGTAATGCCAGGTAGCGGAGATATAAACTTTATAAAGGACAAACACAAAGGGCTTTTTTATTATTTAAAATAAAATAATGCTTAAAACATAGGTACCACTTCGGTGGGAAGGTAACAGCGTTCCGTGCGCCTTGGTGTTTAGTCATGCCGGCCACATGGCCATGGAAACGTCTTCGGACAGCACTGGCTCTTCGGCTTTGAAACGGAGATGAGCACCGCAACCCTAGAGTCGGATTCGACTGGCTTTCGAGCAAGGGAAACCTTTACCTTGCATATTTTGTTTATTTAACGGTGTCTGATAACGGACACCTCTTGCTCTGAATTATTGCATCAAAATGTCTGTGCTCTTGCTATCTTGAGTATGCTGTTCAGGCGTGTGTATCTGTAAGCTGCAAACCTACGATGACGCAGAAGCAGCAGCAGAACTGGAAGAAGAAGCAGAAGACAGCCAGTTCCACTGTGAGCCTGATAGAAGCCCTCTGGGGGCCTGATTCGGCCCCTGGGCCGCATGTTTGACACCCCTGATTTAGTGTGTGTGTGTGTGTGAAAGCGCCCTCTATTTGTTGGTGTAAGAGCTTCACCTGTGGGGCTGCTCACCCAATTGGGCTCTCTGG